AGGTCGGGGTTTGGGTCACCCCCTCCGTGTCCTCTACGGTGACGACGACGTCGCACGAGGGGAACGAGGCGCCCGGAGAAGCCGAAGCCACCAAAGGCTCGTTTCCTTCGTCCCTCTCGGCCGGTAGGCACCAACCCCCCGGATCATCCGGCCCGACCCCCTCGGTGGGCACGGCGCCTTCTGCCACGCGCTCTCCGCCGCGGTGCTCCCGCGGCACTTCCGAGGAGTACGAGTGCTCGTCTTTGAACGATGGCTTGGGGGCTGCCGACCCAAAACCGGCGTGCCAAGCCTCCGACTGGAGCATCTCCTCAGCCTCCTGGTGTCCATCCGGCGGTGGCACGTCCCATTTGGAAGAGACGCTTTCCTGTGGCACGGGATGGTCCGATCCGAGCCCGAGGGTCCAGTCCTCCTGGGAGGCGAGCTCTCCGCCGCCAGGCTCGTTTTGTGATGAGCGTGCTCGTGGTCACAGGGAGGAAGGCCGTAGTCACGGTCGCAGGCGGGCTTCGGGTGGTGCTCCTCCATGCTCTCGTCACCACACGTGACGGTCTGCGGCTCCACCTGCACGTCCAGATAAACCTCGGAGGTCGCTCTGAAATCCGCCGGCTCCGCTTCGATCTCCACTTCCGAAGGGTACAAACCAGGGGTGGCGTCGTCCGAAACGTAGCACAGGAACGGTTCTTTGGTTTTGTCGCACGGAGGCGCCTGCTCGTCCGGCTTCTGGAGGAGAGTTTTAGCCTCATCTACATTCACGACGGGCAGGGGGGTGGCTTCCCCTTGCTGCGGCGGGTCCGGAGCTTCTGCTTGACTGAAGAGACTGTTGCACTCACTGGACTGGACCCGGGACTCGTCCGGCTCTTGCTCCTGAGCACCCTCGAAGCCATTAGAGGGCAGGGGATACGACGGGCTCGTCTTCACGGCGGGTGATGCCTCTGACTGACACAGGCTGTGCTCTGAAGACACGGCCACGTCCTCCGCTCGGCAGGCACCCGACGCCGCCAGAGCATCAGCGCTGCCCTCGGGGGACCCATTGACGCTCGACTCCACGGGGAAACACGTTCCTAACTGATCAGGTTTTATCTTTAATAAAGCTTCTTGCTCTTTAACACTGTCGTGGCACTCGTTTCCTGCAAGCTCCTCGGACTTGGAGCTAGCCCAACCTGCTTTCCACTCCTCTGCCTTTTTAAAAGCGGGCGAATCATTGAACTGATTTAACGGAGAAAGTGTCTTTTCCCTTTCCAATTTTTTCGCAATGGACACCCTGATCTCATTGCTTTTTAGACAAGAGGCCTCTAAATCTAGAGAATTAGACTGCTGCTTTATTTCTTCCATCGATTCTGTACAACAGAAAGAACTCTTAAATTTATCAGGCTTTGGTGTGGGGGTCTTTGAAGGGGTGGACTTATAACGGGAGGAATTCACATTACTGTCGGGCTTAGAATGGGATGTCCCCTTCCGATAGCCCAGTTCGTCAAGGGGAGAGCACCTTTTGGTTACTTCACTTTCTGAAGTCCTTTTTGAATCTCGATCCGCTTTCGAAGGAGCCCTTCCCCTCCTCTCCGCGTCGGCGTGAGACGACTCCGCTTTGCTGTCCCTGTCCGACTTGGAGTAAGAACTCCTGGAGTCTCTGTAGGAGGAGGAGGAGTGGGACGACGTGCGCCTCGAGTCGCTCGATCTGGAATGTGTCCTCCTGTACTCGTCCTCCGAGTCGGAGCTCTCCCGCGCCCTGCTGTCCGCGTAGGAGCGGGAGTACCTCGACCTCTCCCTGTACGGGGAGCTCCGGTGGTACCTGCGGTCGGACTCGTAGTAATGGGAGCGCTCCGACCGGGAGTAGGAAGAGCTGGTTCGGGAACCCCGATCGGATCGGGAGCGGGAATGAGAGCGGCTCCGCCTCCTCTCCCTGTCCGACCGGGAGCGGGAGGACGCGTACCGCGAATCCCTCTCCGATTTGGAATAGCTCGAGTACTTCTCATCCCTGTCCGACCTGGAGCGCGAGGAGGACTTCCCCCCGTCGTCGCCTCGGAGGGACGCGGAGCTCCGCCGGGGATCCCTCTCCTTCTCCGTGCTGGATATCTTCAGCTCGTGCGACCGCTGGCTGGAGGAGGTCCTCACCGAATCCTCGTCGGATTCGGAGCCCAGCGGCGCGCCGTCCGACTGGGAGAACTTCCTCTTGGCCCCCTGCCTCCGGGAGCAGAGCGCGGCGCCCTTCGAGCCGTCGGAAACCTCATCTTCTTTCCCAATATGGGAATCTTCCTTCTGCGGAGGACCGTCCGTCCTCTCGGGGGTGTTTGCTCCGCC